AACACTCAAGGAGTTAATTATTTCCGGATAAATTATTCCAAGCTTTAGATGAAGGAAACAGCTGCACACGTCGCAATACGCCAAGGAAAAATAAATGGCTTGAAGCCTCAAGAATTAGCTACAGAATGTGATATTTATTTCACGGCCAAAGGAAAATCTTTCGACGAAGTTCGAAATGGAATTAAGCGATCACCGAGATTCCTGGATACAACATGTGCACACGACAAATATATTCCACCACCCATGAGAAAAGAATATCCAAAACACGAAAGATTTCACGCGAGAAGAAAAGAATGTTATATTTGTGGAAATTATCAACACATCGCGAGAGATTGTCCAGACAAAAGAAGAAAGAACGAAAACTGCAGTAAAATAAGAAGGGAAAGGATGATTCCAAAACTCAAAAAAATTCAAACAGAACATCAAAAGAAGAAGCCATCGTAGCTAAAGTAGACTCATCCCATCTACGATCTGAATTCGCAGAACGCATCGTTCAACCACTGCAAAAAGTAGATATTTTTATTAACTCTGAGAAAATCGAAGCTATCGTAGACTCTGGAACGCAGATAACGATCGTACATTCATCGCTCATTCCAAATTTAGAGGAGAGAGAAGGAGGTAAAATATTGCTAACACCTGCTTTCGGACAACCAATTGAAGCAAAAGTTTGCCGTGTACCTATTTACCATAAAGATCATGGAAGCAATATATTTAATTTTGTGGATACATTAATTGCAGTGACTGATAAGCTATAAATGTGCCTTGCCTAATAACTCCAGAAATATACGAACTGTTGATTAATCCTGCGGCAGAAGAACCAAACGCAGAAAGAAATAAATACGGAAGCGAAAACTTACAAAACTTTATTCGCCAATGCACAGTCAAACGACAGCGTCGATTCCCCCCGCTAATGCTTATGGAGGAGAAAAAAAAAAGAAGAGGAGGAAGGGAAGAAGGCGAGTGTTTATGTAAACACAGACTTATCGTCTGCTGAACGCCTACGCGAAGAGCAAGTTAACTGTCCCTCGCTGAGAGAAGCATGGAAGCTAGCAATAAAAAAAAAGGAAATTATTTATTTATTGATCATCTTTTACATCACCAAGAAAAAATATTAGGACAGAATGTTTTTCAGTTAGTGCTTCCACTTAGTAGAAGAGAACAAGTGTTGGAATTAGCACATAGTTCCATTTTCGGTGCACATCTTGGGATAAGAAAAACAAAGGAGCGAATACGATATTCATTTTATTGGCCTGGATTAGCACAAGATGTTGAAACCTTTTGTAAAACGTGCAAAGATTGTCAGTTGAAAAGTCCAGAAAAGCGATCTGACAAGATTCCCATCACACCGGTCAGAAGGCCAGGATTACCTTTCGAAACAGTTAACATCGACATTATTGGACCTATTGAACCTCCCTCTGCTAGGAAACATAAATATGTGTTATGTCTGGTAGATCAACATTCCCGATGGCCAGAAGCCATTCCACTGAGAAGCTAAGCTTTACAGCAAAAGCCACTTGCGACGCGCTTTTGGAGATTTTCATGAGAACAGGAATCCCTAATACAATAGCTAGTGACAACGGAAGTAACTTCGTTTCAAAATTAACTAAAGAATTCCAGAAAAGACTAGGTTCTCACCCTAGGTTCTCTACACCTGCTTACAGTGCTTCAAATGGATTAGTAGAAAGATGGAACAAGTCCTTCAAGCAAATGTTACATCATGTCATCAGGACTGATCCTTCGAATTGGGATAAGCACATCCCCTACCTGCTCTTTGCATACAGAGAAGTACCAAACTGCACCAGGTGTGTCTCACCATTTCAGCTCATGTATGGAAGACAACCAAGAGGTCCTTTAGCAGTACTGAAGTCTTCATGGTCAGGAGAAATACCTATACCACCTGATCTAAGTGGATTACTTACAGCATTTAAAAATAAGGTTAGAACAAGCAGCTGAACAAGCCAATTTAATTGCAAGTGAAAAACAACAAAAATATGCTGAGTACTTTTATCGGAGATCAATACTAAAAAAATTTCAAAATCGGGGAACAAGTTTATTTACTCATCCCAGATTCAAATAACAAACTCTATGCACGATGGACTGGTCCAGGAGAAATCGTGAATCATTGCCCACCTCATTCCTATAAAGTAAAACTACCTGATGGAAAGATCAAACATGTTCATGCAAATAAAATTAGAAAATTCCAAGCTAGTGTCAATGCAGTTGGAGTGATATTTGAAAATGAAGAAGAATTTGGAGAAATTATAACTTTACTAGGAAAAGATCTCTCGCCCCCCCTGGAAGATTTTAAAATAGATGCAAATCTGAATTTAGAAAATTTGAATCCGCAGCAGAGAAGAAAGAAAATTGATAGCTCTTATCAATAAACACCGAGCACTATTCACCGGAAAGCTGAAAATTGAAGCTCATAAAATTAGATTGTTAAAGTTGAAGCTCATAAAATTAGATTACTACCCAATATGGAAGAGGAAGAAACCTTACATTTATAGGATACCTGAAGCATTGAAAACCCAAGGTCGATGAAGAAGTAGAAGAATTATTGAAATCGGGACTAATAGAAGGAAAGTAATGCAGAAATAGCTCATCCAGTAGTTTGTGTAAGCAAAAAAAAGATGGAGAATATCAGGATTGTGTCTTAGATTATCGAGCTTTGAATGCAGTGACGAAGCCAGATGACTTTTGCTATGCAAAATGCCATTGATTTAATGTACAGTATAGGAAGAGCCAACGTCATAACAACTTTATTTAGATTTGCTGAAAGGATATTGGGCAATTCCCATGGAGGAACAAAGTAAAGAGTACACATCGTTCAAAAACTCATCGAGGTCAATATCAGTTTAAAGTGCTACCCTTTGGATTAAGGAACGCAGCAGCAACTTTTCAGAGAGTAATGAATAACGCGCTGAAAAAGAATTTCAACAATTTTCAAGAGCCTATATTGATGACATAGCTATATTTTCCACGGATTTCGACACTCATCTCCGACATCTGGATAAAGTTTTTACCAAACTAGAGTCACTTGGATTTACTATCAATTCGAAGAAATGTTCGTTTGCAAAATCTCAAATTAAATATTTAGGACACATCATTGGATCAGGAAAACATCAACCAGATCCCGAGAAAATAGAGGCAATTCAAGAAGCTGGAAACGCTGAAAACGAAAAAGAGATCTTAAAAGTCTGTTAGGACTTATGTAATTATTATCGCGATTATATCCGAGGGTATGCAGAGATCGCCTACCCACTCAACAGAAATCACGAAAAATAAACAACCGGAAAATACTCGAATGGAAAGAAATTCCATGAGTCAACATTTCAACAACTGAAGGAACGATTAGCGATGTCAACGGAGCTTGATCACCCCAACACTACATACAGGATCCGTTTGTCATTCATTCTGATGCATCCCAAATCGGAATAGGTGCATGTTTGTCACAGCAAAGGGGAGAGAAGCAATTTCCCATCTGCTACGCGAGCAAGAAATTATCGAAACCTCAACAGAGCTGGCCGACTATAGAGCGTGAAGCTTATGCTATAGTATGGGCATTGAAGAAGTTTGAACCTTGGATATTCGGTTCATCGGTGAAAAATTGTGACTGATCATAATCCTCTAGCCTTTATAGTGAGAAATGCTCCGCAATCGTCCAAATTACAACGATGGGCCATAGCTTTGCAGAAATATAATCTCGAAATAGAACATTGCTCTGAAAAAAAAACTGTCAAACGCGGATGCATTATCCAGACTTCCCACTTGTGAACTTTGAACATTAATTTACTGTTCATCTTCACGAACATTTTGTATAGTTAATAATTAGATAGTTTTCTTTGCTTTTCATAATCATTTTACAATTTTGTGCAAATAAGATGTTTATGTAATTTGAAATAGATAGAGAAATTATTGGATAACAAATATTCGAGGTAAGTGGTAAGTGGTAAATTTAGATATTTGTCTCCCAAGGATTTAAATCATGCTGCAGCATCATTAATTAAAAGGAATGTTAAGAATATAATTTTATATATATATAAGAAACTTAATAATTTTACTGTCATCATTGGAATAATACTAGGGTATATTTTAACATGTTTATAAAAGAAAAAATATCAACTTGGTTTCTTTGAATTAAGAATTGATAAATTGTTACAATAATAATAAGGTTCGGAACAAGTGAAGTTAAAAATGATTTATCTATGTTTATATATAAAAATGTGTTATCTATGTAAATTATCTGCAGTTGTACGTATTACATTGAGGTATGTCTATAGTAATTGAGATTTGAAAATTAGGAGTAGAATGTATAAATGTATATGTAGTTTTTTTTTCTTTTTCACGTTGATCGCAAACAGTTGCTAGATTTTAGTTTTCCAGATTGCTGATTGATTTGGTAAATAATATCAACAACAATCTTACGACGGGGGTGTGATATCTGGCGACTGTTTGGCGATCAACAGAGCATGCTTGGCGCAGGTAGCTCTTCTTCGAGAAGGGTTAATGTATTTGATTAGGAGTTGCATGTTTGCCTCGGAAGAGGAAGGTAGTAGATTCCGTACTATGCGGTAGGAGCGACGTACTGCTCTGAGTAACTATTATATTATGCTTTGAATCATATATTTAATAAATGTTTTGTTTCGTCTTGCTAAATGGTGCCTTGTTAAACCACGAAGTCATCACAATGTGCTTATACACCAGAAGAGAAAACTCGCGTGCCTGATGTGTGGCAAATCATTTGGAAAAAAAGGCTCATTTAATCAAGCATTTGCGTATTTATGTACCAGATAAACATAATGTATGTGAAGTATGTAAGAAATCATTCACATCAAAAGACCATTTAAAGAAACATATACGTATTCATACAGAACAGAAATCTCCTCTGTGTGAAATATATTTTGAGTCACTTAGCCCAAAGGTTGGCTTAAATAATCATTTGCTTATTCATGTGGGAGAGAAATATGTACCTGATTATCACACATGTGAAGCATGTACACATGACATGTAAGTCATTTAGACAATGTGGAATTCAAAGAGGTTTGTGCTTATTCACACAGGCAAGAAACCTTATATCTGTGAGATATGTAACAAGTCATGTAGATGAAAGTTTGGTTCAATCCACCATAGGCTTACATAAGAGTAAAACCTTTTGGTTGAAGAAGCTAACAAGTCATTTAAACAAGCATATGCTTATGCACACAGGAGTGAAACCTCACACATATGAGGAGTGTAGCAGATCATCCAAACAGAAATGGGATTTAAATGAACATATGCTTAGTCATACAGGGAAGAAACCTTATGTGTGTGAAATGTGTACTAAATCATTCAGTCAAAAGTATCATTTAAACAAGCACATGCTTATTCACACAGAAAATAAACCTCGTGTATGTGAGATATGTAACAAGTCATTTCGACAAAAATATTTTACCAAACATATGCTTAATCATACTGGAGAGAAGCCATTTATGTGTGTAGTATGTAACAAATCATTCAGAATAAAGTGTGTTTTGAATCAGCATATTATTCACACAGGAGAAAGACCACATGTGTGTGAGGTATGTGATAAGTCATTCAGACGTAAATGTGATTTAAAGCAGCATATGCTTATTCGTACAGGAGAGAAATCATGTGTGTGCATAGTGTGTAACAAACCATTCAGACTAAAGTCTTGTTTAAATAACCATATGCTTATTCATACAGGAGAGAAACCTCGTGTGTGTGATATATGTAAGAAGTCATTCAGATTTAAGGAAGCATATATTTATTCACACAGGAGAGAAACCTCATGTGTGTGAGTTATGTAACAAATCATTCAGACAAATGTTTGATTTAAACAATCATAGGCTTCTTCACACAGGAGAGAAACCTTTTACATGTGAAGTATGTAACAATTCATTTAGAACAAAGCGGGGTTTAAATGAGCATATTCTAATTCACGCTGTAGAGAAACCTCACATGTGTGAGGAGTGTAACAAATCATTCAGACAAAAGTATGATTTAAATGAGCGTATGCATATTCAAACAGGGGAGAATCCGTATGTGTGTGAAATAAGTAACAAATCATTCATTCAGAAGCACCATTTGTACAACCATATGCTTATGCACAGAGAATGTAAGCCTTATGTATGTGAGGTATGTAACAAGTCATTTCGACTTAAGTATTATTTTAATAGGCATATGCTTAATAACACAAGAGAAAAGCCCTATGTGTGTATAGTATGTAGCACATCATTCAGATTAAAGTATGATTTAAATCGGCATATGCTCATTCACACAGAAGAAAAACCTCATGTGTGTGGCGTGTGTGATAAGTCATTCAGACGTAAATGTGATTTAAAGCAACATATGCTTATTCATACAGGAGAGAGAAACCTTATGTATGTGAGGTATGTAACAAATCATTCGGATTTAAGTCTCTTTTAAATAAGTATATACGTGTTCACACCGGAGTGAAATCTCATGTGTCTGAGGTATGTAACAAGTCATTCAGATTTAACTCTGATTTAAGGAGGCATATGCGTATTCACGCTAGGCAAAAACCTTAAATATGTGAGGTATGTAACAAATCATTCACACAAAAGACTGGTTTAAATAGGCATTTGCTTATTCACACAGGAGAATCTCAAGTGTGTGAGGTATGTAACAAATCATTCAGACTTAAGTGGGATATAAACAAACATATGTTTGATCACTCAGTTGAGAAGCCTTATGTGTGTGAGGTATGTAACAGATCATTCACACAAAAGTCTAAGTTAAATAAGCATGTGGTTATTCACGAAGGAGTGAATCTTGTTTGCGAGGTATGTAACAAATCACTCAGACTTAAGTGGGATTTAAATAAACGTATGCTTACTCAGTTGAGAAACCTCATGTGTATGAGTTATGCAACAGATCATTCACATAGAGGCATAATTTAAATAAGCATGTGCTTATTCACCCAGGGAAGAAATCTTGTGTGTGAGGTATGTAACAAATTATTCAGACTAAAGTAGAATTTGAACAAAAATAGGTTGAGGTTTCTCAACTGAGAAACCTCATGTATGTGAGGTAAAACAAATCATTCATGCAAAAGTCTAGTTTAAATAAGTATGGGCTTATTCACATAGGAGAGAAATCTCATGTATGTGAGGTATGTAACAAGTCATTCAGATGGATGTTAGATTTAAGGAAACATCAAAAATATTCTCGCAGAAGAGAAACCTTTTGCGTGTGAAGTATGTAACAAATCATTTGAAACAAAGCATGGTTTAAATGAGCTTATTCCTATTGACACTGAGGATAAACTTTATGTGCAAGTTACATAACAGATCATTTAAAGAAGCATATTCTTGTTCATACAGAAGTATATATTATTAATTATATATGTAGCCAGTTGCTTGGAAGACAAGTACAATGAATGGCAATGACGACTTACACACGGACGATAGTGGCTCCGTAGTCACAGCTACTCCTTGGGAAAGTTGTGTTGGATTACTCTTACCAAATGAAGGATTACGTATGCATAATGATAATGGTAAAATGGATTATTTACAAGAAAAACTTAGGGAATTGGATTTATAAATTAAACACGTGAAATCTTCCATCTAAATTCATGAGCACATTTGTGCAGTTACAGATGATGACTCAGTTACTGCTACAGCGGGTCAAGTCCCAAGCAAATGAAATAAGAGGTATGTGCAATTTTCATTGATCGTCAGGCATTAATCCCCTTCTTAGTTCTAAAAATAAATGGAAAAATGAGGAAATGAATAGTAAATGTAAATTAATTCCTAATTCTACTAATGTTGATAGCGATGGTTTTCAAACTGCTGTTAAAACAGTGAAACAGTTAAAAATTGAAAAATTTGCAAAGAATATTGAAACTTCAAATCAATTTGGTGTACTAAATGAAAACGTAAATATTTATACCTCAGTCGATCAAGCAGTGCAGCAGCAGCCGACTAACAGCCAATTACCGGATGCACTCCCAATTATGGTAAATCCTGGAGAACTAACAAATGCAAACTTTTTAAAACACTACAAAATGTACTGATGTCAAATTTTCAGGAAAGGTGAATAGTGAACTGCTCAAAATTCTTCCTTACAGTCCGGAAGATCATCACACACCAAGCATTCTTTTCCGAGACAGACATGTTGAACAATACGTGATTAATGCTAAGTATGAAAGGCCCATAAAGATGGTTATTCGAGGATTGGCAACCACTAAAAATGAACAAAATATTGCCAATGCACAGAAAAAGGATTTTCCATTGAAAAAAAAAATAACTGAGTACCAGGAGAAAAACAAGAGCTCCAATGCCACTATTTATAGTTCAAGTAATCAAAAATGAAAATTCGCATAAAATGTATCAGCTTAAGGATTTTATACATTCTTTTCTGTAGAGGTAATAAAGTTTGTATCGAAACTTTTTTTTTTTTTTACTCTATGCTGTGTTAAATGTTCTCTTGAACATAAAACTATGGACTGCCCTATGCCTAGAGGTACCAAGGTGCAGTAATCGTAATGGAAACCACACATCATCGTATCAAGGATGTGCTAAGTTTCCTAAAAGAAAAATTTAAAAAACCAAAAATCATTCTAAAGCATAGAAAATTAAAATACATTCACTTGGAAAAATGTTTTTAAAAACTGAAAATCCTTGCAAAAAACATAACACAGGTAGCACTCCTACAACATGGCATCCTGTAACACAGCTTCACTACAACACGCATCGTAAATTGCGAGAACACTCCTACAACACGGTTTTGCTCTAACATGATAAGAAAATTCCTCAAGAAATGGAGTTTTTCCATATTGAGCAAAGCACCAACATATTCCACTTTGAAGACGGTGACCAAAATGTAGGCGAGATTTGCAGGGTCTCAAAAACACTGGTCTGACCCAAATATCGGTCAGAGAAATTCTGCCCCTTCATCCTTCAGGGTGTGGGAATAGTCATTGTCCGACAATCTTCCCTGCCACTAATCCGATGAGGTTCACGCTGTCGCCCTAGTCTGTTATCTGAAAAAAACAAAGGCGACTAAAGGAAAGGTTTCAAAAGAGTAGTAGTTTCAAATTGAAATGGCAGTTGAAGGGAGGTGGAAGTAACATTCCAATTTCTCGTCTTTTTAAATAAACATTTCCAAACTTTTCAGTCTTTTAAAGGTTAACACATAAGAATCCTTGTTTCGTAAGTCTTGCCAGTTGTCTTCCAAAATCCAGTTCTCCTAAGAACAAAAGTCGTTAGGGATACGAGCTACATGGTGGAAACCAACCATTAAATTTTTAACTGGTAACGAGGAAGGAATCGCTTCCTTCCGTGACCATCAATACCCAGTCAGGAAAGACCACAGTTACCAGATAACAATGAAGGAACCTCACTATCGCAGAAGATGAATGACATGAAGCCACAGTAAGAGCTCCAAAACGCACAACCTGAAAGTTCGGCTTTTAAAATTCGAATCCTCACCTACGTGGCCTCAAAATAGAAGTGCCTCACATATACTTAAGGCTTTATCTAGGGCCGGCGCTAGATACCGCCTTGGTGCAGTCTCTATGGGTCCTACATTCTGCTACAAAGCACCTTCCTAAGTTTTAATTTTCCCCGCGCCTAAACTTTGGATCCCAGGGGCTTTTCCTAAATCATAAAAAACTTCTCATCCCTTAATTTTGCCGCTCGGTGCTTTTCCAAATTCCAAAAATTTCGTCTTCCCTAATTTCTGCTTCTGGGTTTATGGTGAATAACATATCAGTTATTCTTAATTAAAATAGCACTAAATGTAATCTTTTGGCCTATGAGTTTCATTAACAAAATTTATTTTTAGCATATGAAAAGACATTTTTGCTGAATTTTTCTTCGTCAACATATCTTGGACCATTTAAAAATCTATAATCATCACCAAGCATAATGTTAGCATAAAAGGTTGCCATACTCTTGTTATTCAATTACTAATTTTAAAAAAAGTTCAGACATCACTGCAGGAATTACTACTGAAGCTGTCGTATTGATAAACATGTGGTAATGGAAGCAAAATATAATAAATGATGACTCCTGAGGTCGGCGTCTGGAATATAAAGTAGGTGAATGTTTGGTTTCAGATGTATGCCAAGCAGATACCAAATTATTAATCTCACAAATTTATGCTTATATGATTGTTTTTCCATAACGAGGTATTTTATTTAGTGCCTAAATGAAATTAAGAATCGCAATTTTTAAGTGAAAATCACCACACGTTTTATTATGGAAGGAAAAAGTCAAATGTGCATGTGTAAAGCATAAATAATAATAATAATAATAATAATAATAAAAGTTTTGCGGCTTTGAGGTCTGGATTTTAGATCATTCCAGATAATGGACGTCCGGATTTCGGACCTTTGTGCTGTATTATATTCTGCAAGCTTGTTGAATGGAGATAAATGGTTTTACAACTATTTGCCTTTCTGGTACTTTATAGTAATGGAAGTCTAATCCACAGTTGCTGATTATATCCCAAACTTTAGTAAAAATATGAAATATTCGGAAATGCAATGAAAAACGCATTTTTAATAAATCATATAATATATAATAGACGATTTAATCTTCGTATTAAAAGTTAGTTACAGTTTCTGATTTTTCAAAAAGATATATAATGTCAAAATTAACTTTTTGTTTGCCTTCGTATTTCAAGTGGGGTTTTTAATGCTATTTCCTTTCGGCTTTCTGAAATGACTGTTTTCAGAATGCCTGAATTTTGGAATTTGTATGTGTGACTGACTATTTACTATAAACGCGAACTTGCATGTAAAAAATTCTTAAATGTAAAAATTAAAATATTCTACTCAAGAAATTAAATTAAATCGTGTAAATGAATATGCCGAAAGAATTTATGGAGACCAATAGCTTTCTTTAAATAATTTATTAAAATTTTGAATACAACAAAATTTTAAAATCCGCATGGGGGTGGAGAAAAGTCTCTGCAGTTTCTTGGACCTTTTTTTAGAAAGAAATCTATTAGGCTTTTGTTCTTATAATTAATGGAATATAAGTGAAATGAAACAATAAGAGTGTGAAAGTGTTAGATATTTTGCGCAAAAATATTGCAATTGAAAAGGTATTTTATTATTATATTGAAAAGATATTTTATTATTATTTTCCAAATGCCAGTTCTGAAAGCGATAAATTGAGTGAAAGTTTTTCTTTATATTGAAAACTTAATTAATGCATTCATTTGACATTCCATAATAATTGTATCTATGCAATTATTTTGCAAAGACTTTTGATACAAATTCTAATAAATGCCAACAGCGGTTGAGTGGCTATGTCGCTGGACACTGGTAGTTTGAGCCGGGTACTAATCCCGAAGAAGCTGCTGGATGCATAATAGTTTTCATAGTTTATCCTCATGTGTAATGTGGATATGAGTTGGTTTCCTTTAAGACATTTTTCGCGAAGACGTACTTATAAGGTATTTTCTCCCTCCTTTCTGCATTCCTTTGCGGTAGTACACTCGGAGTGTATTCGAGAGGTCCAGGTTCGAGTACCGGGAAGGGCATTACTCATTTTTCACGTCTACCGTCCCCAAAATCCTAATGACTGTACAGTTGCGCCCGAACTAAAAGATGATGGATAATGATTCTTCACCACCAGGATTTGGCGACTGATTCCCTGGTCCGCCTTTAAAAGGGGGAGTATAAAAAGTACTGGTAAAAGTATATTCTCAATAAACTACATTTTAAATTAAACAACGAAATAACGTAAAAAAGGAAATTCATATTTGCACTACAAAAAGGAAAAATACACTTACCTCATTTATGAATTAACACGTCTTCAGTCAAACAAAATTCCATAACAGCATCCAAAAACTTCCTAAAATTATCTGAACTAAAAACTGTATACTGGCATTGCCAAATAAATTCACAAAATAAGTAAAAAATATCCTCCATAGGGCCGTATCGTTCGATCATACGCATTTCCTTCCTATAAACAGGACAGTGTATGTATTTCTCGTATTAGTGGGATGAAAAGGCATTTAATACTGTATAAAGTAATCCTTGTTTACTCACTTATTTCAGTAAAATAGACCATTTTTCAATGGATGAAGAAATAATTTATAGTCATGAAGAAATAATTTATAGATTAGTGTTGAATGACCCCCAAAATTTTCACAAGGAGCTAAACATATCAGGTTCAGTGTTCCTCCTTACTTACTTTGGGAACATTAAATGACCTGGCTCGGAACAGGGAGCTTACTAAAGCTATGTTCAATAAATGTGGGAAGTAGACAAGATACACAGGAAGGGTATACGAAACCCTTTATTTTTCTCTCTTTACAATGATTTCCGGACTTCGGAATACAGAGATCAACCACTTGTGGTCTGAACGTAAGAATATAAAAATATTAACTAAACTCTAACTAAACTAACTTTGGATTAATAACAAGTGCCTACTTGAAGATTGGCCGTATATTAACAGAAAGGCCGTATGTAGTACAGAGAACTGTTAACACTACGATACGTTTAAAATTATCAAGAGGATTAAACCTCTGGTCTTGAAGGCAACCGAGTAAAACTACTATGGCAAGCGGCCTGCTCCTAATCACTC